GCATACACAAAATGTATATGTACGTTATATAGTTCTATTATATATAGTTCTATATTATATATATATATATACAGTATGTATGTGGAACAACATTGATGGGTGTCGTGCCATGTTCATTTCCCTAGGCCCTAGGTCTGCATAGCCATGTCAACACTCCACAGATCCCCACAGGCCATTGTTTCAGCTGATGCTGTTTCCTCTGCTAACCTGCCAAGCTTTATGACAGAAAAATGAACCTCGGCTTCAAATGACCCGCTCTAGTTGGGACTGTGTATGGTAACGAGGAGGAGCCAAAAGGGCCACCCTCGGCTGGCTCACAAAAGGTCTGCCATGTTGGAACCTACCTTCTTCCTCTAAGTTTTATGATTGGGCGGGTCACAAAAGGTCTGCAACCTTGGAATGGCTTCTCCGTTCTCTAAATTTTACCCTCCATTCACAAACAGTATGCTACATTGGCAGCTGCAACAGCACAGCGCTCGCAACACTGGCCAGTGCAGGCAGCACATCTTTGCAAGCTGGTCAGCTGCAGCAAGCCATCAAAAGCCAACAGAAGCAACGGTGCTTCCCTCCTTCCTTCCTTCCTTCCTTCCCTCCCTCCTTCCATCCTTGGCTCATAGAAGCCACCAAAAGCCGACCAAAGCCACCAGAGGCCACGAAAAGCAAACAAAAGCCACCAAAAGCCAACGATAGCCAGCCAAAGCCACCAAAAGCCGCCAAAGGCCGCCGCCAAAGGCCAAGCAAGGCCACTGAAAGCCACCAGAAGCCACACAAACGATCAAAAGACCCTTTAAATATTAAATAAGGGTTACACACAAGAACAAAAGATACGAGCCCCCCGATTGAACTCCAAGTGCCTGAATTCCACCAAGGGGCGATGTCAGCTAAGTCGTCTCTCTCAAACCTCAGCGCGATGTCCAGCTCCGCGATCGCAAAAAGCGGAATGGACTCGAAGAGTGCAAGTGAGAGTGAGAGTTGATGAAGTCCAAACTGGACATGGAAAACATGTTTATGGAAAATTACAAGATCCATATTCAATCACGCGATCTGGGCCTTCCTCTACACTTCAAGTGCCTCGAAGCAACCAGCCGAGGGAAATGTAGTCTCCATCACTCTCCCCACAGCCTGCGAAGTCGAAGCAGAACCTGAGCAAAAGCTGGCGTGGGAACCCTAAAATTAAATTGGTTTCATGGGAATGCAAAAATTGGATTGGAGAAGAAGGGTGTGGTTTGAGAATGGTCCGCATGTCCATTCCAATGGGCCCCAAGATATGCCCAACGGTTCGACTGATCACGATGGCGCTCAGTCTCCATCTGGGGTTTCCAGACCCAGACCCAGGCAACCAGACCCAGACCCAGGCTGTCGAGGGGCAAAGAGATTCCCAAAGGCAAGAAGAGTGGCACCAACTGCAAAGCCTCCAATCTGCAGGAGGCATTTTGATGCAGGTAGATGACCTCGATCGGAGTGTCTTCGCCGCCGGGAGGGAGAGAGAGAGAGAGGAAGGACCTCATTGCCAAGGATTCCCAGGTCCTTTTTGAATAAGCCTATCTTTCAGCCTCGCTTCGCTTCGAAGCAGCATTCGTCTTCCAAGCAAAGATCAGTGATAACCACTTCACGCAGTATCACGCAGCCATGCTACACAAGGTCTTGGTTCTCCGCTCTCTCGAACGTCAGGCAGAAAATGGGAGCACCTGACACGTTAGCCGAGTGCGCACGAACATGACAAATCGTGCTGCATAAACTTCGTACACAATCAAACGGAAAACTCTTGGTCCACTAGCAGGCACAATGATCGAAGAATAGAACAAATAGACTAAAACACTATAGCGCAGTACCCTTCCTGCACTCAAAAATCGGGCACTCCCAAGAGACCCATTCTGAAACCCATTGTTAAATGAACAATTCTGAAGGAGCCGCAGCCAAATGCAACAACAGAGTTCCCAATGTCATTGTCCAAGACCTCCGAAGATGACATGACCATTTGACCCATCCGAAGTCCAGTAGAAAGGAGGTCCTTTGTTTCAGCCCCTTTGTTTCAGACTCCGTTTTTCTTTGCAGTCTCTGACAGCGACCGGGTCTTTACTCCCACTCCTCTGGACTCCGTTTAGTCCCTGAATCCCACCAGTTGAGACGTCTTTCTTTTTCAAGCCTCAGCTGCTGCCCCCTAGAGCTGGTCAAGTCAATGTCCTCGGACCATGCAAAAAAGTGATAGGAACCAGTTCGAGCCTTTGCAAAAAAACTGCGAAGCTTGGCTTCAACTTAATTGAACAAGACGTCTCTCGGTGGGATCAATTGGCCCAAGTAGAGGTTGAACATTAAATTAAAGTGTGTGACATATGTGGAAAAAAACGACCGAGAAGGCCCAGAAGTAATCATTTTTGATCGGGGCATGTCGGGGCACGTCTAAAACTGTTTTTTTGAAACCATGCCGCTAGGGGGGCCATGCCTCAATCTCTGGAGAACTGACCATTTATATGCTACCCTGAGAGGTTGAAAAAAGTTGATAAGCACAGGTAAATACCAAACTTTGTCGGGGTCCCTGATTTGGAGACAACATGGAAACCGTCAGTTTTGGGATGTGGAAGCTGATTGTCCTTTGCCAGGGATGTTCCACACCCGTTTCAAAAGACACAAAATATAGAAACTGTTTCTTTTGGGACAGTTGCCTTTGTGAGCCAATCTGCTAGTAGCAATTAAAATTTGTCGACTACTGAGTGACCACTGGCTAATCATGGCCATCCTATGGGTTGGCATATGCCATCCCCTGTAAAGCTGCACGTATATGTCATAACAGGCTTTGCCGAAAACCAGGACATGGTTCCCACCCAATCAGATTGTTGGCATTTGTTGCATATGCTTCCTCTACCTCTGGACAACCTATATTTAACGTAGAGCGCTGCCCTCTGTTCAAGTCACCATGGGGCTCGATCAACTGTCGGCCGCTCAACTGTCGACTGACTCCCAAGACGGGACCCGAACGCCGTGGAGAGACCCGAACGACCGCGAATCCGCATCCCGTCCGCTGATGGATCGCTCAGTGTCTCTCGGATCGCGAAAAAAGGGGCTATATAAGAGGTCCAAGTGTTTCACAGCAACAGCACAAAATATTGGCGCAAACTATCTGGATGCATGCAGCAAGCGCCCATCGGTTCAAACAGTTTCAACTGAACTTCGGCCCAACAAATCAGATAAATCAGCGAGCAAAACGGAAAACATTCTCTGCAACGAAAACAATAGGACAATAGAAATGTAAAAACATCAAACACATTTAAAACGAACATTGAAAATATATGGTAAATATACTATATAGATCTATATAGTATATACAATATAGTATATACAAATATATACAAATATGTTTTTTTATGTGACACCATTTGAATATGTATCAAAAACAAGACCAACACCGCCAAAACTAGGGAGAGTTCGGTTCTTCCCTCTGCCTCTCTCCGCCAGGCATCCAGCCGCCGCACCGGGCAGCTCCAAAGCCGAAAGTCCTTCGGCCCCAGGCGCAGCGGGTCGTAGCGCCTGGACCGGGACCGACGGTCGTTAGCATCTGATTTGGTCGTTAGCAGTCGGATGTTGTGGCATGGTTTCAGATGGAGAAAGCTCTTTTTCAGTGGATTTTTGTGTTTTTTGGCTACTTCATTGCTATTTTGAGCTGTCATCAAAGACTCCTAGCTCTACTCTATGCGACGTAGGGAGAACGAAAAAGAACAAAAACTAACCTGCACCTGGTGTTTTGTCGAAACAAATCTAAACAACAGTCCAGGGCAAGGTAGCTGCTGCAGTAAGCTTACTGCGTATAGTCTATCAAAACGGGAGGTCTTTGAACTTGCTGCCAAAAAGCAACTCAAAATAGCTAGACTTTAAGTTCACGCCATGTTTGTAGCGGCAGTATCTTCTGCAGGGGCCAAGGCCTGCACGAAGTTCAAGTGGTTTCAATTTTCATCCGGGGGATGTGAGCCACCCCCCTTCTGCAACTTTTGGGCTAAAGGATGGCTTTCAGGTTTCTACTCTTTCTTGGCCTGCCTTCGAGGGGGTCGGATAATCAGATTCCAGAGCGCCAGGGCATAGGGCTGCCTGACGACGGGTATCGGCGGGTTCCCTGATCTTCAAGACGGCGCGCTCGGGAAGTGTGAAGTCTGTGACTGCTACTGCGCGCATAGCTCCTTGCAATGCAACACGTTCCAAGTAATATTATGTTGATTGGGCAAGCTAGTGTCCAGAGTAGTTGCCAAAGCTCTCTTCAGTGAACATATGTCACAGCACATGTCTTTGACGGATGCGAGGGAAGTTCCGCGTAGATCGTATACCAGGATGGTTCAAATCCCAATCCCCAAGCAAGGGTTTCCACCGGGCCGTTCTGGACAACATATTGGGCCCAAAGCCCAGGGAAAGCTTTTGCAGCCCAGCAGCCCCGGCATCTCCAGGCAATCCGCATCATCCATTCCTGCGTGCTGCGCTGCCTACCGCAGCCTCCTCCTCCACAGCCTCAAGTGCCGTGCCACATCACGCCATCCCACCCAAGGGACCAAATCTTCGGAACTTCATGTCTGCCACTCCAAAATACAAATCCCCCAGCGTAAGATTGGCTTGCTAAACAAGCGCGGTGGCTCTTGGCGATGTTTCACAATGCCACCCAATGCCTGGTCCAAACATGACCCCCACCCGCCCACACCAAGAGGCCGCGTGGCCGACGGTGGCACACTCACATCCTTTCTGAAAGCCGAAACAGCTGGCCGGGATCCACGCGTCGGGCAGGTCACAAGCGCGTCGGAACAACACTGTGGATTTGCTTCCGTGGGCGGAACCATTCCGCCATGTTCCACCTAGTCGGGACCAAAAAAGGAAACGTAAACGCTCAACCACCAAGCAAGCAGAACCAGAACCTCAACTCTTTCAGCAAAGGCCTCCTCCTTGTGGCTTTTGAACCCCGGACCTGCATGTTCACATCCGTCCGCGCTTCCAGTTGCTTCCGTGTCACCCTTGCGCATCCCCGCCTCCCGGGCGGGCCGCGGCACGTCTTGCCCTTCCATGGCCTGGCGATCCGGGGAGCTCCCATCGATCCCCACCATCCCCGCCATCGATCACCTCACCCCAAGAAAGCCAGCAGGGAGGAAGCGAAGGCAAGAAACACCAATGCACACAATTCACACCCATTCTCCAAAGCAAGTAGACCCACCACTGGATTGGATACAATGATGCCTAGTGTTTAAGAGTTGCTTCTCACTGCGCTCAAGTGCCTCTTTGCCTCATCTAAGCATTCACCATCACGTGACACGTGTATCTTTCACGGCGTTGTAAAATGAAACAAGTACGTCCAGCATGTGAGACTGCTGCCCGTGAAGTGCGGTAAGTGGCCTTGGGCAAGCTTCACCCTCACGTCCCCAACTATGAAAATATAGTGTAATATCTTCATGCCATGGGGAGGAATCTCATCATGAGCAAAAAGGTTTTGTGGAGTTATATTTAGTTGCAATATGTTGAAATAATTGCAATAGGGTGTGGGAACAATCGCATAGGATTAAAATAGATTAGGGAATTGTGAAACTAAGAATTTCGAGGGGGAAGAGAGGAGAAAACAAATCAAATTTGGAAAAGCATGGACCAACACAATGTGGAGGATTTGTTTATCCTGTGCTGACATGTTTGCCCACATTTCACTAAAACCTGTCAAGCGCCCCAACCAGCTTGTAAAGCCGTTGGCCGTTCACCTGGCCGCCGTTCAAAGGCGGCAAAACCCTGAAAGAGCTCTGTGAGGTTTCCAGCAATGGCTCAAAGGAACCAATGGCTTGCAAACAGGAGGGGGCCATGGGGGGCCCTATCTTGGGCCGTTGCCATGCGTCGAGGTTCATCCAAAACCGGAGTAAGTTCGACATCCTCATGATGCCTACCAGGCAACGTAGCTTGTGACACCTGAGTGTGTGGGGCCTGGTGAACGGATCTGGGCAGATCCAGCTCTTCCAACACCACCAAGAGGAGAGGTTACCGTAGGGACGCCTTAAGAACTTTAACATGAGAAACCAACCTTCACTCGGATTGGTTCGCCACTGCGGAGCAAAGCAGGCTCTCTTCGCGTCAAGCTGTTCAAAAAACCTATGGCATTCTCTGACCCAAAAAGACTTGCGAAACGACTTGACCCGTGCCTGTCAGTCAAGACTTGGTGAACCTTGTTCGATCACGATTGAACAGAACAAACTCCAGGGATGACCCATCCCAATGAAACACAATGGAGCCCCCAGACATGGTCAACCAGCGTTTTGGAGAGGTTGAAGAACTCTATAGACTATCCGATATAATTAGGTACCCCATCATGGTCACACTGATGGTCACTTCACCCCTCTTGGACGTGCCTTCATTGACGCCCTTTGTTCTCCGTCCGACTGACCCACGCATGACACGGCAGCACGCAAGACATCGGACGCCCACGACGGGCACACCTTGAGGGCAGAGAACATCGGAGGCACCTCGAGGGCGTTCTGATGCGGGTCGTTAAGCCCGGACAGCGCGGACACATGGGAACCCCACCACGGGTGAAAAAGGGTCAAACTCAGCACATGAGACTTGGGAGGAACACCTATGGGAATGGGGGACGGTAATATGACTGAAGTTACTGCACGACTACTCTCTCTCTCTCTCTCTCTTTCTGCAGGCTTAGCTCTCGCTGTCTCATCGAGGCGCCCAAAACCGCCAAAAAACATGGTAGGGGCTGGGAAGGGGAACACTCCACGAAGACAACAGTGAGAAGGATGTGGTGACTGATGCTTCAGGAAATGAGATCTAGGGAACACTCTTGGACTCTTGGGTGCGTTCTTTGGTGGCTTCATCCTTTGGCTGGTGGTGTTTTGGGAGCGTTTGTGCATCGGTGCTTCAATATCAAAGCAGGCCCCTAGTGCATCTCTACACGGGCAAGTTCCGATAGAGAGAGATGCTTTGGAAGCCTTGTCAGCACATAATCACCGATTGCACCCATGCTTGGGGATGGCTTCCTCATGAGCTACTTTGGGGGTTGTCTGAAACACAGGCAGTGGGTTGCTTGTTTGTCGTTGTTCTTTCACTATGGGGACCTTTAGAAGGCTCATAATTTCAGCTCGCACGCATGCACATTGATCCTTATAAAGTAAACGGTCAGCTGTCCAACGAGGACCTTTACATTCTTAGCCATGAGGCATTACGAGCCAACTTTTCGAGAGCCAACTTGTGTTTCAGTACCTTGGTGATGGTGATGTTCTTGCCAGTGTAAGACGGTGTAAGCCCAACCCTTCCCAACGCTATTCACATTCACGGCCAACGAAAACGACGGCGGATGGTACCCCCCAAAAGGTCACCAAGTCACCGTCCAGGTCGGGGGTGCCACCCACGATCGGATCGCCTTGTCACCGTTTTTCCCTTGTCCTTCCGCCTTCGGGCCACTATTTGGCCCCAAGGAAAGAGAGACGCGTCGCGCGAGCTCCCGTCCAGGGTGGACATGCACGATCTTGGCACCAGGCCTCCAAACCACTTTTTTGACCAAGCTAAGGTTTAAAGATCTAGATTGACACACACATATAATGGAATGGGCGGTGTGCATGTTCGATCCAATAGCAACGCTTTCCGTGGTGCTGCTAGGGATGCCTAGGGTCTAGAGTGTGTGTGTGCGAAGCATGGCCCTCTCGAGGGAGCACCAAAGGCACCGAAGTACTGCACTGCATGCACCGAAGGCCATCGCATTGGACTAAAAGAAGAAGATCTGAATTTGAATAGCATGTGAATTGGCATGGCACCAGCCGTGGCAATCTGCACCTGTCTTCAGTGCAGGTGTTGGTATCTTTGACCAACCAAAATGTTCAAAAGGTGACCGATCTCAGATCTCTGGGATGCCAGCCTTGACAGATCTCAGATCTCCTATTCCTCCCTCTCTGGCAAAGAGTGTTCAGGCTGTATCTAAAAAATGAGTGAGTGTGTGTGTGTGTGTCACACCCTGGTTCTAAGGGCTTTCCACCTTTTCACCTTTCCACTACCACCGAGACCGTTCCAATTTTCCATTTTTCCACTGATGTGAATTCATCAAAGGCAGGGGCGTCAGGCTCGATACACCTACCTGACGCAACGAAGCTCTGGTGTATCGAGGGATGGGTGGACTGATCATCCACCTGTACCTGCTTCAACGGTTGAGCAAGCTGTTCCAATCCTCCTTTTTTGATTCCATGGTGGTTCATGATACTTCCCATAAACCCCTCCACTTTTTCATGCAGCTGAACTGTACAGAGGCTCGTCACCGCACACCTGTCGAAACTTTGTTCAACAATACGGTTTTGCTGACTCACGCACCTTTCTGTTCCATCGCCTTCCTTC